GGGTTGTGACATGACATCAAGAACATCACACAGGAAGAGCAAAAGGAAAACAAGAAAGAAGGAAAAGACCAAACAGTTGTCAGAAGAAGCTCTGAAATTTGCTCTCCAGTATAGAGATGATAAAGCAAATCGAAGAAATGAGGAGGTAATAAGAGCCAAATAAAAATTTCAAAGGGCAACTAACTGGAGAAGACAAAGTCGAGTATTATAATGAAATGTACAAGGAGTTAGAAAACCAAAAGGGAAGAACACACTCCTCAGCATTTCTCAAGCTGAAATAACTAAAGAAAAATTTAAGCCTAGACTTGCAAAATTGAAGAATTCTATGGGAAAAAATTGAATGACACAAAAAGCATCAAAAAATGGAAAGAATACAGTCACTGTACCAAAAATAAATGGATGATGTTCAATCATTTCAAAAGATAGCATTTGATTAAGAGCCAATGATACTGAAGGAAGAAGTCCAAGGTGTACTGAAGTCATTGGCAAAGAACAAGGATATGGGAATTGATGGAACACGAATGAAAAAATTTCAACATAATGATGCAGAATTGGAGCACTCATCCTCATAAGAGGATGTGGAACGAGGGATATCATTGCTGATGTCAGATGGATCTTGGCTGAAACCAGAGAATACCACAAAGATGTTTATCTGTGCTTTATTGACCATGCAAAGTCTTTCCATTGTGTGGATCATGACAAACTGTGGGCATCATTTTGGAGAATGAGTATTCTAGAATACTTAATTGTGCTCATGAGGAACCTGTACATACATAAATCAGGATACACAGTCATTGAACAGAATAAGGGGATACTGAATGCTTAAAAATCAAGAAAGATGTACCCCAGGGTTGTATTCTCTCATAATACATATGCAACCTGTATGATTAGCAAATAATCCAAGGAGCTGGATTATATGAAGAACTGACATCGGGACTGGAGGAAGACTTGTTAACCACCTGTGATATGATGATGACGTAACCTTACTGAAAGCGAAGAGAACTTAAAATACTTACTGATGAAGATCAGCGACCACAGACCACTTCAATGTAAAGAAAACAAAAATCCTCACCACTGGACCAATAAGTAACATCATGAAAAATGGAGAAAAAATTGAAGGTGTCAAAGACTTCGTTTTGCTTGCATCCACAATCCACTCATGGAAGCAGCAGTCAAGAAATCAAGCAATGTATTGCATTAGGCAAATCTGCTGCACAAGACCTCTTTAAAGTGTTCAAAGGCAAAGATGTCAATTTGAGAACTATAGTTCATCTGACCCAAGATACGGTGTTTCCAATAGCCTCATGTCATGTGACAGCTGGACAATGAATAAGGAAGACCGTAGAAGTTGATGCATTTGATTATGGTGTTGGAGAACATTAAAAGTACCATGGATTGCCAGAACAAGAAATCTGTGTTGGAAGTATAACCAGAGTGCTTCTTAGAAACCAAGATGGCCAGACTTCATCTCTCAAACTTTGGACCTATTATCAGGAGGGACCAGTCCCTGGAGAAGAACATTATGATTGTTAAAGTGGAGAGTCAGCAAAAAAAAAAAAGGGAGACCCCCCCAATGAGATGAACGGTCACTGTTGCAGCAGTTGTGAGGATGGTGCAGACCTGGGCAATGTGTCGTTCTGTGGTGCACAGGGTGTTATGGGTTTGAGCTGATTTGAAGACACCGAACAACAACATGGACAAAATATTGAGTGATATATAAAGCTTCAAAAGATGGAAATCAAAAAAAAAAAAGAAATGGTTGTGCTAAGCCCTACAATGTTCAATAGACTCCTATGAACCTGGGTGGAGACTTGGTTGGCCAGCAGTGTGGCAAGGGACTCTTGGGCCCAGAGTCAGTGACGTAGCCACAGAGGACTAGAGCCGAGATTGAAGCATCCAGCTGATGAGAAGAGATGGCATATGTATAAGAACACTCACACTTGCAGATAATACCCACTTGACCTGGCTTTAATGACTGGATGATCAGAGCTCAACTAGAAGAAAGAAGAGGAAACAAAGAGTAATCTGATATAATTTGATGAACTTGACCTATACCTATGGATGCAGTAGCTCAAAAGAGGGAACAGATCTTTACAGCAAGGATCATTCCCAACCCCTCCATACAGAGTAGACAGGGATGGGCAACTTGGACATTGGCTACCCAAAATGGGGGAGGCTACAAAGGCAAGAAGTGACTGGCTTACAAGCTTTCAAGAGGGAGCCTAGATCCAGAGGGTGTGGAGGAAAGTAGAATCTCCACTGAGTAGTCCCCAGTCTGTCTGGGTGGGACTGATGAAAGGAAATGCGGATAGGTCTTTTGTGATACAATAGTGAATAATTGTTGATGTCAGACAAAAGTGAAGAATTCCACTAGAGGATGTTTACTTGTGCCTTAACTATGCAATGGCATTTGACTATGTGGATCAAACCTAGGTAACATTGTGAAGAATGGGAATTCCAGAACATTTAATTGTGCTCATGAGGAACCTGCTCATAGACCAAGAGGCAGTTGTTTCAAGGAGATTGTTGTTGTAAAGTGCCTTCCAACCCATAGCAACCCTGTAAGGATTTCTGAGGAGCAGCTGGGGAGCTTGAATTGCCAACCTTGCAGTTCAAAAGGCTTTGCAATCTGACTCATTAACCCAAATGGCCACACCAGGACTCCTCGTGGTTAAAAAGAAAAGGTTTGCATCTTTTTATCATACTTGGAGTCCTGGTGTGGCCCTGTGGGTTAATGCTCTGGAATGACTAGTTTGAACAGCAAGGTCAGCAGTTCAAGTTCACTAGTAGCCACTCCTTGGAAACCCTGTACAAGGTCGCTAAGGGTTGGAACTGACCTGACGGACTAAACAACCAAACTTAATCTGTATGTATGCAGAACAAATAATCTGAGAAACTGGATTATATGAAGAACATGGCATCAGGGTTAGAGGTTAGGGATAGGTGCTATTAAGTTGGCTCTCAGAGACCCTATGCTTGGTCTTAGGTGCTGTCGAGTTGTCATAAGGAGCCTACTATGCACAACAGAATTAACAGGGCCTAGTCCTGTGCCAATTTCACAACTGTTGCTAAACTGGGGCCCACTGCTGCTGCCACTGTTCCAATCCATCTCATTGGGGGTCTCCCTCTTTTTCACTATCCTTCCACTTTACCAAGCATGTGTCCTTTTTGACTGGTACCACCTGATAATATATCAAAGTATGAGAGACAAAGCCTGGCCATCTTAGCTTCTCAGCATGTGCACAAAGAGCAAAATACTGTCTGGTCCTGAGCCATCTTCACAACGATTGTAACATTGGAGCCCGCAGCTGGTACCACTGTGAACATTCATCTAGTTCTTCCTCATTTTCAACTTTTTAGCAAGCCTGTTGTTGTTGTTGTTGTTAAGTGCCATCGAGTCGGGTCCGACCCATAGCGACCCTGTACAGGGTTTCCGAGGGTGTAAATCTTTACGGGAGTAGAAAGCCTCATCTTTCTCCCGCGGAGCAGCTGGTAGTTTCGAACCGCTGACCTTAAGGTTCGCAGCCCGATTCGTAACCACTACGCTACCAGAGCTCCTTTTTAGCAAGCCTAGTGGAGGTGAAAAGAACAGGAAATACTTACTGATGAAGATCAGACTACAGTATGGATCACACCTCAATGTAAAAACAAAACTCCCCTCACACCGGAGCCAATGAATATCATGGTAATTTGTTCAGATCCACCATCAGTGTTGATGGCAGCAGCAGCCAGGAAAGAACAAGATGGTACTGCATTAGGCAAATCCACTGCCAAGGACCTCTTTCAAGTGTTAAGTGCAAACATAGCAGTCTGAGGACTAAGGTGTGCTTGGCCCTCGCCCTGGTATTTCCACAGGCATGTGAATTTGGATCTTGAATTTACCGGAAGGCACTTAACAACATAGACTCAAAATGAATTGGAATTGACTGGTTGGCAGTTTTTTTCTCTTGGTTAATTTTAACAATCACCAGGTCTTAGTCCCACAGAACTGCTGGTTAAGTTCAAAGGGAGAACTTTTTATTATCAGTATACTTTAATTCAATTGTTTCTAGGATTAAGACGAGTCCAGCTGTGGTGCTGCGGGTTAATGCGCTGGACTGCAATCTGTTTAATCCACAAGGTCAGGTCGGCGGCTCAAACTCACCAGCAGCTCCTCAGACACCTTATACAGGGTCAGTATGGGTCGGAACCAACTTGACAACACTTAACAATAACAAGATTAAGAAATGTATCAAAATAAAAAGCAATATTATTTATGAAGCTTATAATTAAATTTATTCATAACAGTAAGAAAGTTTAATTTTACACAGACACAAAACATTTACTGTAATTTTCGTGTAACGCGCACAGCGCGCATAAGAAACTGATGCATGAGGTGGCATGTAGTTTGCAAACACTGAATAATGTGATTTGCATAAAAGACTACCATATTTTGACACATAAAAATACAGAAATATGTACATACATACAAAAATACTAAAACATAGATTTCAGAAATAAGGAAATCAAGATATTACATAGGCTTTTTCTTGTGTGGGGAAAGGAGACACACACACATTGAAAAAGAGGCTTAAGAAAGGGGACAAAACATTGAAATGATCAGACTCCAGATGTTGATATTTCAACTGATATTAATTTGGCAAGGCAAAATATCTGAATGCAATGAAGATTTAAGATTGCCCAGGTAAAATGACACGGCCTTCCTGACCAACTATGGAACCAATCTTATGCAGAATTACAAGCATCAAGTAACCACCTAACCAGTTTTCCTTTTTAAAAAATACTAAATTTTCTAATCCATAGTGACAATTTTAAATTTCACATTATATTATAAAATGTTTCAAGAGGTTGTGTGACCTCTTTACTCACTGGGAAAAAAAGCTCCATATACATCAGTTTCAATATAAAACGGAAAATCACAATACATTTATTTTTATAAATTAAAACCTAACAATGTCTATACAAACTTCATGGCCAGTTGTAACTGGTTTAATAAGAGATCACAATCTTCGCAAATTCTTTTTGCTTTTTTTAGTACCAGGCAGAGGTCCCATTTTGGCTTTTAGAGGCTTGCTGTTTGAACAGTTTTTCGTGGTATGGTAATCACAGAGACATCTTGTACAATAATCAAACCCACAGCTTTCTCGTTTGCAGGTGGCCCGTTGTAAATAGCCATCGTATTTTGCAGGTGAATTGCAGCGAACGCAGGCTTTGAGGCTTTCATTATTTTTTAAAGTCCTGGCAACCTAGTAAGAAAAAAAATCCATACTTACTAAAAAAAATTGAGTAAGAAATGAACATGCATGGCTTACAAAAGTAAAAAGCTTAGTATCATGCAAATTACTTGTGTAAAAACATAGGAACGTAATAAAACCAAGAAAGGCCCACTAGCATCATTAGGCAAGAACATGAAACAAACTCTCCTTAAAACTTATTCACCCTACTTCACTGGCCAGTACATGTTTAGAGCACCAATTCTACACATAATTTAAGTCCCTACCCAATGAGCTTACTGTTCAGCGGGTGAAAGATAACATTTCTTGTCAACAGTTCTAGTAGCTACTTCCTTCAACTTTACTTCATGAAGGTCTAAGTTGTGGCTTAACATAGATGGCACCTTTCTGTGAAGTCTTCCCCGTCCCCTGAAGACTTACTGTTCCTTCACTTGTACTGCTTTTTATAGTCCCTATCACCTTTATAAAGGAGCTCTGGTAGTGTAGTGGTTATGAATTGGGCTGTGAACCTTAAGGCCGGCAGTTCGAAACTACCAGCTGCTCTGTGGGAGAAAGATGAGGCTTTCTGCTCCCATAAAGATTTACAGCCTTGGAAACCCTGTACAGGGTCACTATGAGTCGGAACCGACTCCATGGCACATAACCCAACCAACCATCACCTTATAATTATGTTGTCTTGGTGTGGCACTGCAGGATCAGCACTGGACTGCTAACCACAAGGTCAAACCCACCAGCCGCTCCTTAGAAACATTATAAAGGGCTGATGTAAGTCAGAACCCACTCCACGACACTCAACAAACAGCATATTAAAAGGAGTCTTGGGTGGCAGAAACAAGAGAGCCAGCGTTTGCTCCTAACTAGAAGGCTGGTAATCTGTACCCACCCAGAAGCGCCTTGGCGGAAAGGTTGAGGGCTCTTATTCGTACAGCCCAGTCACTGGAAGCCCACGGAGGAGTTCTGCTCTGGTACACACAGGGTTCCTGTGCAATGGAATTGACTCAATGGCAACTGTTTTAGCATTTGTTTCTCAGGTTACATGGCGTGCAAGGATAGCAAGGTTACATTTTAATCTAGGTGGTAACTAACAATATGCAAATGACCAAGAAATACTTAACTGAATTTATTCTGCATTCTGAATTACAGCCATTAATATCAGGATAACTTAGGACACATACTACGACTCACAGCGACCCTGTACAGGGTTTCTGAGGCTGTACATCTTTACAGGAGCAGCAAGCCTCATCGTTGTACCGCGGAGCCGCTGGTAGTTTTGAACTGCTGACCTTGAGGTTAGCAGCCTTATTCATAACAAGTAACACAGAGTATTATTTGACCTTAAAAGTTTCTATTCCTCTTCATAAGTCCTATCAACAATCAATGACCCTTAAGTCTCTAATTTACTGATAAAACAAACACCCACCTCAGAGAACTCATTGTGACGACTGTAAGCAGAGCCTTCCTGATTACCTTGATTGGATAACTTGGTTTGAGGGTCTTTTTTGGAGTGAGTCTGGACTGCTGATTTTTGAACAGATGCTAATGCTGTTCTAAACATAGTATATTCCCTGGTTGAAGCATGTGGTGAAAATTTAATAACATTTTCCTAAGAAAAACAACAACAACAACAAAAACTTTAAAAATTATTTATTTTCAGGAATCAGGCATTTTTATTATTTTTGTATATACAAGAAAGGATCTAAACCCCTATTTCTAATTTACCTTTACATTCTTTAACAGACACATAAATGGTTAAATATTTGAACTTCATAATACTAAGTACAGACACTATGAGCCAGAACACTGTGAGAGTTTCGTCTACACGGCACTTGCGCCCATGTGCTGTTATGTCAGCTGACTCACAGCCACCTGCCTACTCCTGCTCCACCCTCACTAGGACTGTCTGAGTGCTTGTTGCAGCCGCTATGTCAATGCATCTGGATGGAGAGTCTTCCTCTTTTTCATTGGCCCAGAGACAGGTCCTTCCTGATAACAGGTCTAAAGTACATGAGATAATGTCTCACCATCCTCCCTTCTGAGGAACACTCTGGCTGTACTTCTACCAAGACAGGCAGATCAGCCTTCTTCCTTCGACACCAATTCCCCTTCCACCCCCTAGCACTCTATTCATCTGGGTTTGATAATTCATCGCAGATAACTCATCGCAAGAGCTACGCAGAACTCAAGATACCATACTCGGCTATAAGGTTTATTAGCAAGTTCTAATTCAGGATCAGAAACGTTCAGGGCAGAGTTCTTTCCTTGGTCAGGACAGTCTCTCCCAGCCATTTCCATCGTGAGGCCTCTCTGGGCCAGGGCCCTACCTAAGCTGTTCCAGAGCTCTCGGAGGGCTGCAGGCACCCAGTGTTCTATCTCTGCTTTTGGTTCTGTTGCTGCTGCTCCTCTATGTCACTACAACTCTTCCTCCAGAGGTGATGAGACTCAATGCACAGGGATCTTGGGGTCCAAAGGACATAGGCTGCCCCTAGCTCCTTTTCTGTGATGATAGTGAGACCCCCGTTCCTACTTCTGAGATGGTTCATTTTATACCCACATTAAGAGTTGCCAGTTTTAAAGATCACAATTAAATCATTCACAGCGGAATCATATAATCTTATCAGCATCAGCTCCCACTTTCTCTTAGCCAGACCCATCAGAAAGAAACTTGTTGGTGGGCGTCACAAAGACTATGGGTAAAAGCCAAATGAAGCAATCCAATGCACAGCACCATAGTACTTTCAATACTCTTCATCAACACCATAATTCAAATGTATCAGTTTTTTCCCTCTCATCTTCCTTTTCATTGTCCAGCTTTGAGGTGACTAAAAACACTAGGGCTCGGGTCAGCTGCCACTTAAGTCTTCAAAGTGACACCTTTACTCTTCAAATCTTTGAAGAGGTCTTTTGCAGCAGACCTAATTAATGCAATAGTCATTTGATTTCTTGACTGCTGCTTCCATGAGCATTAGTTGTAGACCCAAACAAAATGAAATTCTTGACAACTTCAATCTTTTTTCTATTTATCATGATTTTGTTTACTGATCAGGTGGTGAGGATTTTTTTCTTTATAATAAGGTGTAACCCATGCTGAAGGCCATATAGAAAGCATGCACTTACTAGCCATATTTTGTAATTCCTACCAAATGTTTCTGCCCTGCTGCATCCGGGTAAGAGAAGGTGGGAGAAGATACTGATAGGATGCCCTGAATCAGCTCTGATACAGATTTAAAATGAGCTATGTCAACAGCAGAAAGGGAGATGTCTCCACCAGTAACCCAGAGCCCGGGATGGCGTGTCCTCTGGACCCTGAGAGCCCTGCACATCGAAGCTCCTAACTCAGAGGCAGAAAGCTGCAACACTAAGATCCCAGCCTTGGCAGAGGGTATTTATATTGACATGTTTGTGTATACTACAAATATATCCAAGCATATAGTAGAACACACAGGGAAAAATCATCAAAATGTCTTGGTGGTGGTTGTGTTGTGCTGTGTGGAGTTGGTTCCAACTCACAGCAAACCTATGCAGGGTTTCCGATGCTATAAAACTATAAATCTTTACGGGAGCAGAAAGCCTCATCTTTCTCCTGTGAACAGCAGTAGTTTTGAAATGCTGACCTTGAGGTTAGCAGCTCGACTCATAACCATTATTACCAGAGTCTCAGCCATAATCAAACCCCTTGAGGGACTGAGTTGGCTTGAGAGCGTAGGAGCAGTCTCAGGTAGCATCTAAGTCAACTGGCCTAGCAAACTCCACGAAAACTCCATTCTCTAGCCGACTTTGGTCAAAAAAGGGTGGGTATAATCACTGGTCTCTTTCCATCCAGAAAGTAAGAGTGACAGAAACCAAACGACTCAAGGAAACAATTAGTCCAATGGACTAATGACCACAGGACTAACAGCCTCCACTAGGCCTGAGACCAGTAGAACCGATGGCGCCCAGTAACACTACCAAGTGCTCTGATCAGGATCAAAAGAGAAGGTCCTGGCCAGAGGAGGGGGAAAAAAAAAAGTAAAGTAAATATCAAAATTGAGTTGGCAGAATCCTCCCAAGTCTGGCCCGTGAGAGACCTTCAATCCCGGAACAGAACCTACTCCTGGAGGCCACCTTTTAGCACAACAGGCCTGGTAACATCCATGGAAAACATGTTCCTCCCTCATCTGCCCCAAACCGGAAGTTCAGAGGGCAGGAAGGATGGACCTGAGTGGTCATGGACACCCAGGGAGCGCTCTGTCAGTGAGGGGACTGCTACAGCTCCACACGTGGATCAATACTTGAACGGAAAACCCCTCACCCAAACCATAATAAATGTTCAAGGAGATAAAAGAAGAGCTGACAGTGCTGGAAATCCTAGGGGGCAGTTCTACACCATCCTACAAGAGTTGCCATGAGTTGTAATCAACCTGACAAATTTTTTGGTTTGGTCTGCTTTTGTTATAACCAAGCAAAGCAAGAAAACAGTTTTTCCAAATTTCCCAAAAGCTATAAAAATGGCAGCCAGTTTTCAGACTACCTGTTATCTTTCCCCTTTCTATTATCAGTGTATTTTAAAATAAATTAATTATAAAGACATACCGAAACTCTTTGCATTGCTTTAGTGTACAATTGGAATGCCTCCTTATCATCTTCGAGAATCTTCTTCCAGGTTGTACTCACTTTAGCCACACTGGAAAATAAATGGTTATAATTAAAATATCACCAAGGGTGAAGACAAACATATTACAAAACCATGAACACCCAGCCCCTAACACCTCAAGAAAAAGAAATTACACGAGCAGTGGTTCTCAAAAACCTGGCTGCATTTTAGAATTGTCTGGGGTACAATATTTTAGGATGACTCAAGTCTAAAATGAAGGGGACACTGTTGTTCCTAAGTGCCATCAAGTCAGTTCCGCCTTACAGCGACCCTATATAGTTTCTGAGGAGCGGATGGTGAGTTTGAGCCACTGACCTTGTGGTTCAAACCGACCTTGAAGTCCAATGCTTTATCCCACATCGCCTCACCAAGACTCCATGAAGAGGTCCACAGTTTCTCCATTTTTAAAGAATTCCACAAGTAATTCAGGCTTAAAACCCACTGCTTTCTAATTTGTTTTCCCATATCATTTGTAAGCATCAAATAAGCTGTGTCTGATGTCCTGCTGTAGGATCAGCAGTTCAAACCCACCAGTTGCTCCTCAGAAACCCTGTAAAGGTTGGCCATGAGTTGGAACCTACCAGACCACATTTTAATAGCATTATATATATATCACCATGTTAGGAGTATGCTTGCTAATGGCTGTAGACAAATTTCAAAATACTCTAACAGGTAGTAAAAAATGCCATCTCTCAAGTAAAAGTCATGCTCTGCACTGAACAATGAAAGACTACCTCACATTCCTGGATGGTATGATCGGTGCTGAGCCATGTAACTAAGATGCTCAGTTGGGCATAATAATGCACCCAAAGCAGCAATACTTACTTGATTAAGTCCATATCACTGAGCTGTGCTAAAATACCAGCCAGGAGAAGTTTGAATCCTCTTTGAAACAGTTCGCTGAGAATATCCACACATTCTAGTCCCATTTTCCGGCCAATTATATTCTGTAGTTTAAAATTTCCACAGGATATAATTTTCTTTAGTAGCTCCAGATCCACTTTAGGATTTCGCTTGGCATTCTTTTTTAACGTCGAACAAACAACTTTTTGAAAATGAAGAACTGGCAGCAAGCTTTTGTTGGGATACTGGTCTGGGCTCTGTGTTTGCAGCAGGTAGGACGTCTGTGAACTCTCACTAATGCTCTCCTCCTCATGTTCACTGAGACCACCGGGTTGAGAAAATGAGGAATACCCACTGTCTTCATAAAATCGACTGGTCTCCAGTTCTCTGTCATTTGGACTGTCAAACGTTTGTTGTACATGTTGGTTTTCCTTGTTGTACAAAGGCTTGCTTTCCGTTTCTAGCTCTGCAGGCGTGGGGCTCACAATAGGGGATTCAATGTTTGACAACCTCTCACAGGCCTTACTGCAGCCTTTACAAGAACCTTTCAAATACACAGGAGTCCAGGAGCCCACTCCGCTATCACCATCTGGCTTGACCAGCTGTAGTCCAGAATGAACATGGTCACAATCAAAATCACACTTCACTTCGAAAGAAAGCATGGTCTTTTCTTCTTTATAACCTACAAAAAGAGAAACCCATGACATATTTACCTTTCCATGGCAGAATTCCCACACAATCCTACTTCTTAAATTGGGATGCATTTTACTTACTTCGACTTGGTTTAGTCTTATGGAGGCCTCCCATGTGCACAGCAGAGCAGAGCTGCACGTCAGGTTTCCAATACCACGACCTTAAGTACATTGCTAGGAGTGTCTTCTGAGGCTCCTCGGGGGGTGGTTGAGGGTCAGGGTAGGGGCCTTAAACCACTAACCTTTCTGATAGCAGTTAAACACTTCATCATTCTGTCCTATTCTAGGGACTCCAATTGCTTATGTACACTTTCCTATAAAAACAAAAGCCAAACCAAGCCCCTGCTATCAAGGCAACTCCACCTCCTAGTGACCCAACAGAGCAGAGTAGAACTGCTCCTTTGGATGTGAACCGCCAATCTTTGAGTTAGTACTCAAGGACCACCAGGCTCGTGCCCTCTGCACTGAGTCTGTGCAGTCAGCTAAGGTAACAGTGGAGCAGCAGCAATATTGTCAGATGGCAGTACTGTTAGTGCTGTTGTGAAGTACCATTAAGTTGATTGTAACTCATAGCGATCCTGTACAGGGTTTCTAAGAAGGGGCTGGTGCATTTGAACTGCTGATCTTTCAGTCAGCATTCCAGTGCTGAACGTACAGTGGGAGCTGTGTGCCAACACGTAGGTTCCGACCCATACTGACGCTACATAGGGTTTCTGAGACTACATCTTTATGGAAGCATAAAGCCTCATTTTTCTCCCATGCAGTGACCAGTAGATTTGAACTTCTGGCCTTGCAGTTAGCAGCCCAGCTCATAGGACACTCAGCAAAGGCACAACGGTGGGACAGAAATATGGCAGATGAGTTCAGCAAAACTAGCCACATTGAAGGCAGAGCACATCCACATAAAGGAATGCTGGGGACTTGAGAAAATCCTCTGAAAGTCTGGAATGCTAGGTTAAATGTGAATGGTCCTGAAGGTCCCTATCTACCACTCCCCACCACCTCAAGCTAAGCTAATCAGATGTTGATTAGCTCACAGTGCCCCTACAAGGAGTGGGTGGTGGGTTTGATTCATATGTATACAACATTTTATCCTTTAACTAAATTACATACCAGTCCGTATTTTTTGAACTGCAAGGTTGGCGGTTCAAGCTCACCAGCTGCTCCTCAGAAACCCTCTACAGGGTCGCTATGGGTTGGACCCCAACTTGATGGCACTTAACAACAAATCTAATTAATTATTATTATTATTATTTTTTTTTTCTACTTAGAGCAGGTCTTTTAAGTCACAGCACCAAAGAAGACTGCCTTTAAATTCTCAGTGCCTAACAGTGACGCTGTAGGATCAGCACTAGACTGCAAACCACAAGGTCGGCAGCTCCAACCCACCAGCTGCTCCTTGGACACCCTTATCCAGGGTTGCTACGAGTTGGAGTTGACTTCATGGCGCTAACAACAAGCGACACTGGTGTGGTACTACTGGATAAGCATTGGAGTGCTAACTGCAAAGTTAACAGTTCAAACCCACCAGTCACTCCTCTGAAATCCTATACAGTGTTGTTATGAGTCAAAGCCGACTTGACAGCACTTACCAACAGTGACAGAAACATAGTATGTGTTCCAGGACTCCACTAAACCATGGACAAAACCTAGAAATTAGGTTCAAATGAAAAGTACAAGACCATTAAAATGCAAATGCTGTTAAGCCTCACTGAGTGGATTCCAACTCACAGTGACCCTGAGGAGTGGCTGGTGAGTTTGAACTGCTGACTTTCAGTCCAAACTGACCTTGCGGTCCAGCTCATGCTGCAGTGACATACCAGGAATCCAAAAATAAATAAGAAAATACAAACTCTCTAATTCTGTACGATTAATATTGTGAATTCTCTTCTACACACAAGGAAGAAAACGCAGACCTTTTATTTCTGGTTTTAAATGCCTGTAAGTCAGTTCTGACTCATAGTGAGCTTGTATGATAGGGTTTCTGAGGACTGGTAGGATTAAGCCTCGTTTACATATGACCTCAATTTATCTGGGAAGAAAAAAAAAATGTAGCAGAGGTCTCAGAGAAAGGTACACCCTATGCTGTGTCAAAAACAAAGAAATCTCAGGAGTTCTTCAGGATCTCCCTTTTAGCGGCATTCTCTATCTGCCTACACCACTCTTCTGTCAGTTTGTCGTGTTGTGCTCAAAATGCGACTGGGCTCAAGTGTGGCAACAATTGTGAGGTTGGCCCAGGACCCGGCAGTGTTTCACTCTGATTTGCACAGGGCTGCTATGAGTCAGTACTGACTGGATGGCACCTAAACACAATAATCTGCCCCATCTTAAAAACGCCGCTGCTGGAAGACCCTCTGCCATCAAGGCAATCCCAACAACCCATGGTGACCCCTTAAGGTTCAGAGGAGAGCTGCACGCCAGAGTTTCCAACCATTTGATTAAGTGCCACTGAGTCGGTTCCAACTCATAGCAACCCTGTATAGGGTTTCCAAGGAATGGCTGGTGAACTCGAACTGCCAACCTTGTGGTTCAGTGCTTTATCCTGCAGCTACACCAGAGTTCATAGCTTGCAGTGTCCTTGAATTGGGGTTTGAACTGTATTTGTCTAATGGTAAAACTGGGGTTGTGGATATTTAGGAAGACAACAGTTGAGTGCATTGTTATCACACCAACAATACGTGCTATCAACATGACTGATTACTGATGCTGCTAATCACCTGGCTGAAGCAGTGTCTGTCTAGTGGGAAGTTACTCTGGAATCTTCGGATCTGCAGACTCTGAGCAATAATGCAGTACTATATTGGTTACGAATCGGGCTGCGAACTTTAGGGTCAGCGGTTCGAAACTACCAGTCGCTCCGCGGGAGAAAGATGAGGCTTTCTACTCCCGTAAAGATTTACACCCTCGGAAACCCTGTACAGGGTCGCTATGGGTCGGACCCGACTCGATGGCACTTAACAACAACAACAACATATACTATGCTAAGGATGTGTTTCAGTCGGTCCCACTGTCACTTTGACAGACTCCCACCATTTTGTTTTTAACTTACTTTTGGGCACTACAAGATGTTCTAGCCCCAGAACTATGATTTCTCCAAGGAGCTATGGTTCCTTTTAGTGGAAGAATGAATGTAAAAAACAAGAAAACAAGACCTTAACTATGGTTTTAAACTTAGTTTTAAAATGTAAAATGAATTAATATGTTATTTTCTAATACCAACACTGCCAAATTAAGGAGTCCTGGTGTGGCACTGTGGGTTAATGTGCCAGACTGCAAAGCCTTTTGAACTGCAAGGTCGGTGGTTCAGGCTCACCACCTGCTCCTCAGAAACCCTATACAAGGTCACACTATGGGTTAGAACTGACTCAATGGCACTTCACAACAACAACAGCTATACTAAACCCATTGCCATTCAATTGATTTTGATTCATGTTGTTCAGACTCAGTGACCTTGTATATGGTTTAAAAGGAGTGGCTAGTGGGTTTGAACTGCCGACCTTGCATTTCAAACAACCTTGAGGTTGGGTGCTTATCCTAAGGAACCACACCAAGACCCATGGGAGTGAGTAAAACTGTTCTGTGGAGTTTCTGAGGCTGGGAAATATATAAGGAAGTAGATTGCCTCATCTTTCCCCCAAGGAGCGACTGATGGCCTCTAGCCACCCACTCCATGGCACTTTACTAAGACTTCTTGAATCAGAGAAATGAGAATTAAGAGTCTAGTTCTACTGTTTCGTTCATTCATCCAGCGTCCACTCAGTGACAGGGTGGAGAAGGGAAGCTGTCTGCCTAGAAACAGTGACACTGTGAGACCTGGTGAAGCCTGTTTCAGACTGAGGGAAACAGGAAGCAGTAAGTGTGGAATGTTCAAGGAAGAGAGAGGAATCAAATTTGATTTGAATAATAAATCAACCCTTGGGAGGTTCTAAGTAGGAGATTCAAAGATTAAAAAACCATTGGCAATGGTGGGTTGTGGAGTGTAGGAAAGTTAACAGTGGAAGTCAGGAGGCCAGTCTGCAAATGTGTAGTACAGCTAGGCTCTCACGCCTCCATACTGCAGGGAAATGAAATGAGGTGAACAGATTCATCCAGGCAAAGCCAACAGAACTAGCTACTCTTTTGAATATGAATGATGAGCAGAAAATGAAGTTTAAAAAAAAAAAAAAAATTGTAGGGCTTAAGGTTTGAGCATCTAAGTAAAGTGTCACTTACAAAACTGGGAAACACTGAGGAAGAGTTGACAAACCTCTCCTTTGGGGAGGAAATTAACTCTTACAGCCTCAGTTTCCTCATCTATAAAATGACACTGGCCAGAGTACCCACTACATAGTCTAAACAAAAGAAACTCCTTTCATCAGCATTATTCACCATAGACCAAGCTTTCACATTTTTCCTTTGCAAATCATGAACATTTCTAAAGTTAATAAAACATGTCCCATACAGAAGCAAACATTTCAAGACACATCTAAGTTCAGGAGAAAATATTTGGCCAAGCTTTGTGGCCATTTCATTTGCTCTCAAGTGGAGTTGCTATTATCTACACCCAGGAGTTGCTGTGAAGGGTCATCATACTGTGTATCTTATAGTTCTCATTTACCAACTCACATTCCAAGCAGGAGCAAGCAGGAGCAGTTAAAAATAGTTTTACCTTCCAATTCATTTCCCATATAGACCTGATACTTCATAGTGAAACACCACAGTCAAATTTGGCTAAAGTGCTGAAAAATCTTAGTTCCTTTCAATATATTAACTAAGTAAGGTCTGCATTTGCCCAGTACTTAGAGGTAACCACCATGGCGTCCAACTTGAAGCATGGCCATTCCTTTACTAAGGAATCTGAAATGGCCAAGTCCTGAAGCCCTCAATTGCAAACCAGCCACTAAGCAGAACATTTTAGAAATGTCTGCCTTCAAAACTATTTGGATGCAAAATCTGATTTCATTTCCTCAAACCTGTATACAGGAGGCCCAAAAAACCAAAAATTCCCGGGTACAGTAAATGTTTCCTGAGGAGCAAGGTAGACAAACAATCCAGAGGGGGAAAATCGCCCCCCAAACCCTTCCCCAAAACCATTATGCTTCAAATGTACCCAAGGAGATTCGAAAGATCACGTTAACCTGGTCGGAATAAAACACCATTTTTGTCCTTTTGAGGCCTCTAAAGATTCCTTTTCTAATGAAAACGGGCATCTTTCCTGATGAGGAAATATTACAATGTTGATTTTACCAGCAGTCCTCAAAATTTCGCAAGTAAAAGAAATGTTTTTGAATCTTTTATAAAAGAGCAAGAAATTACGTAAAAACAAGCCTTTTCTAGTGTTGGCAAAAAGAAATATGGTTCTTGAGGAGGAGAAAACGTGAAAAAGTATCCAGGTTTCCCCCAAATCTGCGAAACGTGGGCAGATTGTCGGGCTCCTTTTCCCTCCTCTTTTGATTCCAGGCCCCGAGGCTGAGTTAGGGGCAAAGGATGGAAACAGGGGAAATGAGGGGTTTTGTGCGGACCTTCCAGGGGGGCCTGGTGGGAGGGAGCCCCCATTTGGCGGGAGCAGGCCCGAGCCCCTGAAATGCTGAGGGTCGGCGGGATGGCCCCTCGGGACGCGGGCTGGCGGAGGAGGCGGGAGATAAGGGAGCCATCTCCCGCGCCCGCCACCGCGCTGAGGTGGCGACACCCCTGGGCCATGGTCTCGGGCTGCGACCACCCGAGGGGAACGGGAGACTAGGGCCCCGTCAGGGGGGTCGGGCAAAGGAGGGGTCTTTGGCGCCCAGTCAGCAGTGGGGTCGGGAGATCGGTCTCCAGAAGGGGAAAGAGATCACGGGGGCCGAGACCCCCAATATACACCTGATATTTGAGTGACCCCCCCCTCCAGTAAGGACCTGGTATTTTGAGAGGGAAGTCGCCTCACGGGATTGGCGCTCGGGGCCCGCCATCCCGTCTCGGTACTCGGGGCACCCCTCCGGAGACCCCCGGGTTTTCTACCCGCCCCGGGCCTCACCACTCACTCACCGTCCGAGGGGCGCGGGCGCAGGGCTGCTGTCAGGGGGCTGCAGCGGGGTGAAGACGGGCAGCAGCTGCAGGGACTCCGGCTCATGCCGGCGGAGGTGACCTCTGCCTCAGGTGAGTTAACAGCTCTAGCGGCGACACCGCCCGCCGCTCGCTTCCTAGAGCTGTACTATCTAAAAGGCGCCAGCTGGTACTTTTAAAATCTTTGAATTTGGTGCCCAAAGCTGCGCGGTCCAATAGGACGGGTAGCTTTCACATGTGCACCAATAGAGATGCGGTGGGCGGGGATGCTTCGGAAAAAGGCCCATCCGCAGCAGAGGAGGCGGGGCCGGACGCCAAGCCCAGCCTCCGCGCATCTCACCGGTTCCGCACGTCCTGAGAGATGCTGAGGCCAGGGAGGGGCCGAGGGCGGGGCTCGCCAGAGGAGGCCGCGGCCCTGCCGCACGTGGAGGGATCCTACCGCGCCTGCGCGTGCCCGCCAAGCTTCCATCCTTAGGCCTCCCGCGAATCCTGATTTCCGCCTGAAAACAGCTCCAGTTGACATCTGAAGGTCTCCGATGTGTACAAAGAGTAGCCGATTTTCTTCCATCATCTCACAAATGGTAGTTTGGTGAGCGGCACCTCTGGACGTCCGGAAATCCAAACTTTCCGGAAGATGAACCCTCCCCCCATGCTTACTTATCCCGCCTCTCTAGGATTTACCCGCGCGCTTCTCGCTCCCTCCTAATTTCCGTCCCGCCCCTCACCAATGCGTCTGCGCAGCCTTCCGTAGTGGTCCTGGCCTCAGAGTTGGCGGGTTGGCGCGTGCGCACTTGGATGCCTCGCGTTTCTACCCGGAGTCTAGAGGGAAACGGAGGGTGCGGGGAGTGTTGTGTGACCATGGAGGTGGCGGGAGTCCTGATGACTGGGACCTTCCGGTGGGGGTGGGGAAATGGTCAACTCTTCATTTGCAGCCACAGCTCTTTAGCCACCATTTTTGTTTTGTTTTTATTGTCAATTGAGTGAAAGTTTACTTGACAAATCATTAGTTTTACAATCAACTAATCGTATTTTGGAGTCCTGGTGTGGCGCTGCGGGTTAATGCGCTAGACTGCAAAGTCGTTTGAACTGCGCGGTTCAAACTCACCAGCTGCTCCTCGGAAACCCCATACTGGGTCGCTATGGGTCAGAATTGACTCGATAGCACTTCACAGCAACAATCATATTTTGTTTCCCTGCAATAATTAACAATCTTCTCCTTTACTATAATTTATCAGAATTTACCTATTCGCCCTTTTTCTCTAAGTTTTTATTGTGGCTTGAGTGATAGTGTACATGGGAGAAATCGGTTTTATACTCATTGTTTCATTGCAATGATTACAACTCCTTGCATCATCATACAACAGTATTTGCTGCTTTTCCCTCTGTTTTTTGTGGGGGTTTTTTGAGATGTACACAAAAACACTTAGGTTCTGCAAGACTGCCTCCTGTCCACCAACACCTGACTGCCAACACGCAGCTTGTCTCTACAAAAGTCTAGAGTCCTCCACTGCTCTCTCTGCGTGTCCTCATATCATTATCCTCTCCCTTGATGGTCCTAGGGTCCTCTCTGTTACTGGACTGTAAGATTAACTGTTGTTGTTGTTGTTGTTAAGTGCCGTGGAGTCGGTTCCGACTTATAGCGACCCTGCACAGGGTTTCCGAGGCTGTAAATCTTTACGGGAGCAGAACGCCTCATCTTTCTCCCCACTTTTTGTTACAAAACTTCTACCTTTACTTTTTTAACAGTGGCAATTAGTCATGATGACAATTACTCACTATTGAATCATAAGAATTTTATCCCCATCTCCTTTCACCAGACCTGTCTAGACAAGATGAATACTATTCTGTGGGGATTCTACCTTCCCCCCCCACACACACTCTGAAACTAAACAACCTCTTGAAAACTTGTAAGCCAGCCATTTCTTGCCTTTATATTTGTTGTTAGGTGTCACTGAGTCTCAGTACTGATTCATAGCAACCCTACGTGCAATAGAATGAAACACTGTCCAGTCCTGGGCCAACCTCACCATTGTTGCCACACTCCAGCCCATTGATGCTTTGCTAGTCCATCTCACTGGGGGTCTTTGTCATTTTCTCTGACCCTCCACCTTACTAAACATGATATCCTTCTCCAGTGACTGGTCCCTCCTGACAATATGTCTGAAGTATGAGACAAAGTTTGGCCATCCTGGCCTCCAAGGAGCACTCTGGCTGCATTTCTTCCAACACAGATCTGTTTGTTCTATTGGCAGCCCATGGCACTTTCAATATTCTCCTCCAACATCATAACTCAAAAGCATCAATTCTTCTACAGTCTTCCTAACTCACCACCTTTATAGCCTTCCATTTTAGGTAGCCAGTGTCTAAGTTGCCCCTCCCTATCAACCCTATAGAAAGAGAAAATAAGATTGATCCTTGATGTGAAGACTCCTTCCCTCTCAGGTGGTATTTTAAGCTACTACATCCATAAATATAGGTCAAGTTCATCAAATTGTAGCAATTTACACTTGTTTCCTTTATCAAAAAATGTTTTTTTTTATTTTGCTCTAGTTGAATTCTGATCATCAAGCCATGGAAGCCAGGTCAAGTGAGTACTATCTGCAGATTTGTAGCCACCATTGTTTTTGTAGGGCCTCCACGTGTTGAGTTTGTACCTGTTCATTTCTTTCTTCTCAGGGTCAGAAGTAATTGGTCTTGAATCATAATGACCTTGGAATAGTAGTTCAGAGCTTAGTCTACAGTGCCACACCAGGAGTCATTGTTGTTAAATGCCTTCAACCCTATATGGATTCCCAGAAAGGATTAATGAGCTTGAACTGCCAAACTTGTTGTTCAAACCAACCTGGCAGTCAAGTGCTTATGCAAAAGTGCACCAACAATTCTTCTTGTTGTTGCTGTTAAGTGCTGGCCAGTTGGTTCCAACCCATAGCGATCCTATATAGGGTTTCTGAGAAGCAACTGGTGAGCTTGAACTGCCAACCTTGTGGTTCAAACCCACTGCAGTCCAGTGCATTAACCCATAGTGCCACACCTGGGATCCTTAGTTCCCAAAATAAGAGGTTGCCTTGGGAGCGCCAGTCCCCTTGCCCCTGGCTGAGTGAGTGCTTAGTAATGTCTGATGTAAGTAATGTCTGACGGCAAATTGTACAGCGTACTTGGTGTGGATGTGTGTGACTTACGCTGTGACAGTTTATTCCCTGCACTCTGTTTATGGCACAACACAGTCAAACCACAAGACTATAAACTCCAGAAATCTACTTCCTGGCTTTGCTATTTCTCTTCTTTCTTGGGCTCTCCTGCACCCTCTAGAGAAGATTAACTTCCAGGAGGTTCTCAGGGAGGGAGGTGCCAAGTAGATCCTGCGTTATATGTAAGACTTGGTGAATTATTTCATTTTTTTTTTTTTTTACATTAATTTGTAAGTTTTAGAAATATTGCATTAAAATAGTATTTATCTTTGTAGCCGAATTTCTAATATCTCCTTACATTTTGCGCCTCACAGTGTCTCACTGGCTACATCTTCTGTTGACCCCAATAGATAAAAGTGTTAATGGGACAAAGTTCTGTGCTTTAGGAAGTTGACATACTAACAGGGAATTTTTTTTGGCAGTCATTTTAGGAAAGGAAAGAGAAAATAAAATGATGTCATGGAGTAGAACTTGGGGTGCCCAGATGAACTACTTTGGAAAGTCTTGAACTAAGGTGGAAGGCTGAGCTGCCATTAGGCAGAGATCTACTTAATAGCCAGAGGGAAGGGACTGAACAGGTTTGGCTTGTTCCAGGGCTAGTAGGAAGACCTGAAGGCTGACCAGAGATGAGGTCAGGCAACAGCTAGGGTCTTTAGGGCTTTCTAAGTTGATACAGAGTTTGTGTTTTTGTGTTTTTTCTGATTGCAAAGGTTAGTTGTTGGAGTGAAAGTACTATGGATGGACTGCCAGAAGTCTAGCCAGAATGCTCCTTAGAAGCCAAGATGGCAGGACTTCACCTCTCACACTTTGGACATTCTGTCAGGAGGCACCAGTCCTTCGAGAAGGACATCGTGCTTGGTAAAGTAGAGGAGGGTCAGTGAAAAAGAGGAAGACGTCCAGTGAGACAGATTGGCACAGTGGCAGCAGCAATGGAGTCAAGCATAACAACAACTGTGAGGTTGGCACAGGACTGGACAGTGTTCTGTTCAATTGTGCATAGGGTTGCTATGAGTCAGAACCAACTTGATGTCCCCTAACAGTGATGTTTGTCCTGGTGTGGGGCTGTAGGATAAACAAGATCGGTGGTTGGAGCCCACCAGCTGCTCCTCGGAAACCCTGTGCAAGGTTGCTCAATATGAATTGAAGCCGACTTCAAACAGTGATGTTTGTTAGGGTTGTAGTGTGGTGCTGTAGAATAAGCGCTGGACTGCTAACCACACTAACCACAGGTTGGGAGTTCAAATCCACCAGCCACTCTTGGACACCCCATACAGAATTACTCTGAGTTGAAATGGATCCCGGGCATTTAGCAACAATGCTATTTGTCAGTAGTCCTGGTGTGGCATTGTAGGATAAGTACTGGATTGCTAACCAGTGTCGACAGTTCATATCCGCCAGCCCTTTGAGAGAGAACGACAAAGCTGACTGCTCTTGTAAGGATTTTCAGCTGTGGAAACCCTATACAGGGCGGCGCTGAATTGGAAGGCACCTCACAGTGGTGGATCTGGTTTATTTTTGGTTATGATGTTTGTCAGTGTCTTTTGGTTTAAGTTACGTCATCATTGACTTAAGTGATATGTAAGCTTTAATTGATCATGATGAAATACTATTCAAATTGAGGATTAACTTTTTTAGCAAGTTCATGAATGTTTATTTGTCTTTAGTTAGAAACTTGTTAATCTGGCCATTTAAAATTGTATTTGATGTCAACATATGGTACATAGCGCTTTGTTCTTTAAATCAGTAACAGTTGTTGGCTTGTTGTTGTTGTTAGGTGCCATCGAGTTGGTACCAACTCATAGTGACCCTATGCACAGCAGAACGAAACACTGCCCAATCCTGGGCCAACCTCACAATTGTTGCCACACTCCAGCCCATT